GTTGACGAAGTTCACAGGAGAAAAAAATGAAATGCAACAATAGCATTCGAAAATCGTAATAATTCGAGTTTCGAAATTGGGTTGGACAAAAACGAACAAACAAAAAACCCCTTGCAAAACGAGCCCATCAGCACAGCAGATATGCGAGGATAACGGTCAAAGGGAAACAACAATGAAATAACGATACAACAGTAAGAAAGGTATGGGTGGCTTCCCTTAAATTAGACCTTTTATCCTACGTCATCGTTTTTTGTGTAAATACCTACGTCATGGTTCATTGAGTACACACAACTTATATACGTCATCATTCTACGTGTGAACATCTACGTCATCGTTCAATGAGTACACACCTTTTTAACGTCATCACCCTTTGTGTAAACACCTACGTCATGGTTCATTGAGTACACACAACTTATATACGTCATCATTCTACGTGTGAACATCTACGTCATCGTTCAATGAGTACACACCTTTTTAACGTCATCACCCTTTGTGTAAACACCTACGTCATGGTTCATTGAGTACACACAACTTATACACGTCATCATTCTTTGTGAGAACACCTACGTCATCGTTCATTGAGTACACACCTCTTTTTACGTCATCGTTCTTTGCGTAAACATTTACTTTAGGGAATCATTCATTGGCAGCACACGTCTCGTCGCTTTAATTAGTTTTAATTATAATTTGGTTGATTCGTTTTGACCACAAAAAGGTCGTAGCCTATCTCTTCGCGGTCGCAGTTCACTCGTCGGTTGATTTTTACCGAGTTATACAGCTTTTGCAGTCTGATGCTAGGTCTAGATCTAGATTTTCTAGATCTAGATATAGATATAGATTCTAGATCTAGATCTAGATTCTACATCTAGATCTAGAGTCTAGGCTGTTAATTCTGGCTTAAAACCTTTTTGCATCCCCCCACACATGCTAATGTAGATCTAGATCTAGATCTAAATCTAATGTCACCTCTCCTTTAACCTACAGCGTCCAGCAACACAAGGAATGTATTCGTGACTGTGCCGTTATATTAGCGCCTGCAATTGCCAATCGCGAGTTCATGCTGAAGTGAACCAAGCACTACACAAACATAAACAACAGTAATTTTAATCTCGGGTTTTGACCCCAAGTAATGAAATATCAGTAGTAATAGTAATTTTATATGGGGTAGGGGTAGGATTGCAGGATATTAACTAGATCTAGGGTAGGGTAGTAGCCTGGGTAAAGTAGTTTGGGTAAAGACTGGACTAGAATCTAGATCTAGATCTAGATTCTAGATCTATATCCTATCCCCAAACATTATAAATTGGTTAGTCCAGACATCAGTCTCCTTTCTTCTAGATCTAATCTAGATTCTAGATCTAGATCTATCCTTCGACGTTGTTACAAGTTGTTTAATAATTTTTTTGGGGATTTTTTTTTCACCACTTAGATATCTAGATCTAGATCTAGATCTAAATGACAGATCTAAATCTAGGCCTAGATTCTAGATCTAGATCTCTAGATCTAATAAATCTCGAAGTCTAGGCTACATTGCGCTAGCAGATCCGCTTTTTCGCACGTCAAAGGTTGCTAGATCTCTAGATCTAGATCTAGATCTAGATCTAAATCTAATCTACATTTCATTATGTAGGCCTAGATCTATAATCTAAATCTAGATCTAGATCTAGATCTAGATCTAGAGTCTAGATCTAGATCTAGGCCTATAGATTTATCCATAGACAGGTGAAGTTTTTACTTAGGCCTACATGGACGGCACCTTCGAGGGCGAAATATCTAATAATGACGAGTGACGTTTTAAATTATAATACAGATGGTTCTGGAGATGGAACTGAATGTGATAAAGTGGCTGCACACAGGGAGGAAGTTCGTTACAATGAATCAGATTAGCCTAGGCCTAGAGTCTAGATCTAGATCTAGATCTAGGCCTTGGCAAGGATGAATAGGCTAGGCTAGCTTAGGATATATGTACTTAGAATACGCTTAGATATAGATCTAGATAAATCTAGATCTACATGTAGGTCTATAATCTAGATCTAGATCTAGGCCTAGCGTCCTAGATTCTAGGCCTACAGCGAAATCGTCTTTCTGCATTACATTAGAGGCTACTCTACCACCTCTGTCATCATTAGCCCTGCTTGAACTTTCAAGACTCGCAGCTGTCGACTAGAATCTAGTCTAGATCTAGATTCAGCATCAAGAATCAAGATCTAGATCTAGATCTAGAAATCTAGATCTAGGCCTAGACTCTATATGCTATCTGAAGTCGAAGCGAAAGACTCACCTTGCACCCGGCACCCAGCCGCCATCCACACGCGAATCAATTTATCAAATTCAAATTTTAGGCGCCAGGAAGTTTAGATCTAGATATCTAGGCCTAGGGCATATTCTAAGTAGGCTAGGCCCTAGGCCTATAAATCCTTGTGCCTGGGCCTAGGCCTAGGCGTAATTTAATCTGATTCATTGTAACGAACTTTCCTCCCTGTCTGCAGCCACTTTATTACATTCAACTCCACCTCCAGAACCATATGTTTTAAATCTATAGGTCTAATAAAAAACGTCACTCGTCATTATTAGACCCCCCCCCCCCCCCTCGAATGTAGCCCTAAGTAAAAACTTAAGTAAAACTTAATCTAGATCTAGATCTAGTCGATGGAAAAATCTGTAGACCTCTAGGCCTAGATAGGTAATATCTAGATTTTTCAGATTTAGATCTAGATCCAGCAACCTTTGACGTTGTGCGAAAAAGCGGATCTGTTAGCGCAATGTAGGCTAGCCTTGACTTTTAAGTTTAGATCTCTAGATCTATTTCATTTTAAGTGGTGAAAAAAACAAAAACCAACAACAACAAATAACAACGAAGGACAGAAGAAAGGAGGCTGATCTTTTTATTATAATCAAGGCTTAGGCCTACACCAAACTGGACAGTCTGATGTCTGGACTAACCAATTTGTAATGTTTGGGGATATTATAGTCCAGTCTTGTACCCAACAATTAGGCTGTTACATTACCCGAGTCAGTGTCCAGCAATCCTACCCCTACCCCATATAAAATTACTACTACAAGATCTAGAGATCTAGATCTACTGATATTTCTATACTCTTGGGGTCAAAACCCGAGATTACAATTGCAGTTGTTTATGTTTGTGTAGTGCTTGGTTCACTTCAGCATGAACTCGCGATTGGGAATTGCAGGCGCTAATATAACGGCACAGTCACGAATACATTCCTTGTGTTGCAGGACGCTGTAGGTTAACGGAGAGGTGACATTATATCTACATTATCACTATCAGGTGCGGAGGGATGCAAAAAGGGTTTGAGCCAGAATTAACAGCCTAGACTCTACTAGATATAAATCTAGATCTAGTATCAGGCTGCAAAAGCTGTACAACTCGTTAAAAATCAACCGATGAGCGAACTGCGACCGCGAAGAGATAGGCTAATGCAATTTTGTGCTCAAAACGAATCAACCAAGTTATAATTAAAACTAGATCTAGATCTAGATCTAGATCTAGATCTATCGCAACAAACGACGAGACGTGTGCTGTCAATGAATATTGAATGATTCCCTACTAAATGTTTACGCGAAGAACGATGACGTACACGTAAAAAGAGGTGTGTACTCAATGAACGATAACGTGTGCTCTCTCAAAAAATGGCGACGTAAATAAGTTGTGTGTACTCAATGAACCATGACGTAGGTGTTTACTAAAAGAGTGATGACTTAAAAATGGTGTGTACTCAATGAACGATGACGTAGGTGTTTACTCAAAGAGTGACGACGTAAAAAAGGTGTGTACTCAATGAACGATGACGTAGGTGTTCACACAAAGAATGATGACGTATATAAGTTGTGTGTACTCAATGAACCATGACGTAGGTGTTTACTCAAAGAGTGATGACATAAAAAAGGTGTGTACTCAATGAACGATGACGTAGGTGTTTACTCAAAGAGTGACGACGTAAAAAAGGTGTGTACTCAATGAACGATGACGTAGGTGTTCACACAAAGAATGATGACGTATATAAGTTGTGTGTACTCAATGAACCATGACGTAGGTGTTTACTCAAAGAGTGATGACATAAAAAAGGTGTGTACTCAATGAACGATGACGTAGGTGTTTACTCAAAGAGTGATGACGTAAAAAAGGTGTGTACTCAATGAACGATGACGTAGGTGTTCACACAAAGAATGATGACGTAGGTTAATCGGTTAAATTTAAGGGAAGCCACCCATACCTTTCTTACTGTTGTATCGTTATTTCATTGTTGTTTCCCTTTGACCGTTATCGTCGCATATCTGCTGTGCTGATGGACTCGTTTCGCTAGGGTTTTTTTTGGTTCAACCCAATTTCGAAATTCGAATTATTACGATTTTCGAATGTTATCATTACATTTGATTTTTCCTCCTGTGAACTTCGTAAACAAGTTAAAAAAAAAAAATTTCGTTTCGAAAATACAACGCACTTCATTTCGAATAAATTCGAAGTTCAAAGACGCGTCGCCATTTAAACTGTTTATCACTTTCGTAGGAACTGAAAAGCCTATTGATTGTCATCTAGCGAAGAGTCACAACCAGGAAATGTGTCATGAATGGTCTGACATTGAAATTTGGGGGGTTGACAAACCCCAGACATCGATGGTGTTGATTTTAAAGCAACTCTTTTCATTTTCGACCATTTCGGACAGGCCTAGAATCTAGATCTAGATAGATCTAGATCTAGATCTAGATTCTAGTGGAATGTTGACGCCATAGTCAACGCAACGTTGTTGTTATTGTGAACAGTATGAGAGTTACAAGCCTCACGTCTTACATTTTGTTTGTTGGGAATATTTGCAACAACAGAGTGTTGTGAAGCTGTACCTAGATCTAGATGCTGTTTATCTTGTACACATGTTCTCATTTCCTAAACGTTGAACCTTTGACTGTAACATGTTTTCCATAGCAACACACGGTTGCCAAGGCAAGGCATAAGTTTAATTTCACAAACTTCAGCTGCGTTGGTAGTAGGATTAAAGTAAAGTCCAACCGGCTCCCAGTTTGGTTTATGTTGGTCTATTATATAGATCTAGATCTATATTATCTAGAATCTAGTAGGTGTATACATGATGCATTATGGAGAAATCTGATTTTACAACTAATAATAAGTAGCTTCATGACCATAAAATGATAAAAGAAGACCCCCCTGCATTCCTGCTTTTGATAATAATGGAAATCAACCCCTCTACTAAAATCACCCACAATGAAAATGAAGAAAGATATCGAAACTATAAAATACAGGTATTTTGTGTAGGCCTAAAGATTATTTGTTATATTTTGAGGTTTAAAGTTGAATCTGAATCCTTATAACATAGATCTAGCGTAACAGTTTCATTGTCTACCATCAACCTGTAAAACAACTTATTAAGACCTAGATCTAGATCTTGGTCAACGATCGTCATCACACACACAAAAAAAGTTCTACGCCTGGAACGTTTACTTCCCTTCCATCATCAACCAGACTGTTACAGAATAACACGGATATATGTCGAACACAGAAGACTCGAAATCATGCATCCGTCGAACTGTGCCTGCGATCCTGTTTTTTGTTGTTGTTTTTTTAAAAATATCTTGTTAGAAAATATAGGCCCTATATACACCTATAATAAACTCAAATTGTTTGCGAAAGTTTAAGAGATTGTTATCTTTTCTATCGTCCTCAGTTCCTTGTTCAATGATGATCCTGGCACTGGCCCGTGCACCCCTTCACCGGCCACCTTTCCAGTCGCTGACACAGTTGGAGCCTCGCTGTCAGAAAATGTGAGGACCAGAGGCAGTTTCCAACAGTTCACAAGGCTTTTTGAACTTTTCATGCTGTGTTTCTTCGTGGACCTCCTTTGACAACACTTTTGTATTTTACGAATGCTAATTCTGAGCTACCTGGTCCTCAAAGACCTCATATATTATGATGCCTGGCAAGATGTGGGTGTCACTGAATTTTAATATTTTACAGATTCATCAGTTTGTTCATGGACATGGACATTGTCCAAATTGTGAGTGACTTGCATGATCATGGTATCTTGAGAATGTCTTCTCCATTAGGCCTACATTTGTGGTGTTAGTCATTGTGAGTTGATTATGCCACTTATATATAGGACAGTGGGTGAGTAGGCCTAATACATGTAATATTTTATCACTTCTCACACTTTGATCATGACCAGTATAATAATTTAGTGGTAGGGCCTATGTGTGTACCCTGAGATTGGTCTCTTTTTTTCATGTTCATTGTGCTGCTATTGGGGGGAAAAACCCAGTGTACCAGTAAATGTAAAACCCCGAATCCCTAATCTTTTCTCAGGACCCACTGGTGGACCTCAGTAAAGATTAAAGTAGAGAACAGACAAGAGCTGAGCTATTTCTTCCAGTTATACCTTAGAAACCATTGTAAATGTAGGCCTACACTTATGTTTCAGATTACATTCTCCTTGAAAATGTTATATGACATGCACGATAACTCTTGTTTCAACGTACTGTAGGGGTAAACTTTTTGTTGTCTTTTCTCATTATTAAAAAAAACAACTTTTTTGTTTTGAGTATGCTGACAGATTTTCAAGAAACCAGTTACATGGCTAGAAGATGACACCATATGTTATTATGAATATTTATACTGTCAGTGTCTGGCTCTCTACTATAACGTAGCCGCTAAAATAGGCCAAACACTTTTTTGAGGGAAAAGATGCAATTTTTTTTCTCCGTATCTTCCCAAATTCAAATTGCTAAAACTTTAACGAAGAATGTTCCTTTTACTCATTTATAAATGATAGATCTCTATATCACCCATTGTAGTTACAGTTGTGGATGACGTAATTCGAGACAAAAAAGTGTCTGACAGAATTTGGCGGAGACATGGTTAGTGGTTAGAGTCGGACACCAAAGTCATAAATTACTGTCAAGAACAATTGATTGAATTAATTTCATTTTATTGTTTCCCCAACACATTCTGAAACCAAAAACTTGTACATTTTCAGCCATCTTGAAGGACAGCATCTTAGTTATCTTTTAACACATTACATAACATTTTGTTGTTTTTTTGGATACATTTTCCAAATCATGTTTTTATTATAAACATCTCAGACAATTTTGTTCAGCCCCATGTTATAACGCACTTGTTACCGTGTGAACGATTTGCTCCATCAACAATAAGTTCTGATACTCTGTGTTTTTTCTGTTATTTTTTCCATCACACTGCAGGCACAGGTTAGTTCGTACCGAGACTAATCAAAACTTGACCAAAATGTGTAGAATGGAGAACGGTATATCTTGCTAAAATAAATTGATTTTAGTTGTGTGTTTTTTTTTCTTCTTTTAGAAAAGTGTAGGTTTTTAAAAAAAAAGTGAAACGTCTAGCTTTTTAACTCTTTACGTAGATGCAATATAGATTCTAATATAATGCGAATTATAGCTCTCTTTCGTGAAATATTAATTTATTTTCTCACTTCTTCTACTTCCACTAAGGTACAGATACTTTGTCAAGCCTTGAGAAAAAAGTAGATGTTATATGACATCTTATCTGACCAAATCAAGTATTTCATTAAAATCCATACATCTCCTGACATTTTACTGTATGATACACTCATTCTATGATATATTATTTGATCTAGATATCCCATCACTAAGAATTTTTTGTGGAACACCCTGATATTTAGTGTACGGTAATGCAAATTTTTGTGAAAGATTGTGTAAAACATCTATCTGAATAAATGTCAAGACAGGACTTAAGTTGTGTGATGTGTTTGAAAAGTGTCTTTTTGTTTGTGAACTATTTAGAGCTATAAAAATCTTGAGTCTCTCTGTCTCTCTGTCTCTCTCTCTCTCTCTCTCGCGCTCTCGCTCTCTCTCTCTCTTTATAATACACATATTCTATGAAACTTAATTGTAAAAGTTTGCACTCCCCCATTGACACAATTGAGATAATTTAGGAGGGTGGCTACTTCGACAATGTCTGTTAGGACCAGCCTGGGCTGTGTGGGATATAACATCCCAGCAAACAGACGGACAAGTCTCCCACCTCGGAAATCGAACTGACACCATAGGCATAAATTCTCTCGCACTCTCTCTTTTTTTCTTTATCCTGTTCTCTCTCTCTCTCTCTCTCTCTCTCTCTCTCTCTCTCTCTCTCTCTCTCTCTCTCTCTCTCTCTCTCTCTTCTCTCTCTCTTTCATAACCCCCCCCCCCACCCACACACACACACACACATGCAGAAGAAAGGGAGATATTGTTCAGTTATTCTAAAACAAAAGTTCCTGAATGTTCTCTTTGGAATCAAACCAAGACGGTCAAAAACAGAGTTCAGCAAAATTTCCCCTCTCAGCTCCCGCATCAGTACATTGTTCCCTCCCCAACTCACGCATGGACAACAATTTATTCTCTGGTTCTAGTACATACATACATACTTGGCTTGGGAGACAGGTGAACACAGAAACCAGCTATAGTGCAGCCTCTCTATGACAACTTTTGATATAGCGACATCCTCTGTAGAGCCGCATGGTGCCCAGGTCCTGATTTTTTTCTCATATATCATTAGCAATTTTTGGTTGCCTCTCTGCTCTATGACGACATCGTCGGGACCAGAAAAAAATGTCGTTATTACAGAGAGTTGTCGTTACAGAGAGGCTGCACTGTAGCTGGTTTCTGAGTTCACCTATCCCCCAAGCCCAGTCTGTCTATTCTCTGTCTGTCTATCCACAGTCTCTCTATCCTCTGTCTGTCTATCTACAGTCTGTCTACCCACTGTCTGTCTACCCACTGTCTGTCTATCCACAGTCTGTCTTTCCACTGTCTGTCTATCCACAGTCTGTCTACCCACAATCTGTCTACCCACTGTCTGTCTATCCACAGACTGTCTATCCACTGTCTGTCTATCCACCACCAGTCTATCCCTGAGATAGACTTACCTGTAGCAGAACCGGATGAAAAGATGAGTTGAAGGCCACGACAGACTCCAGGAGCTGAAAACATCGCGGGCACGATCTGGAATTTGATAGGAAAAGATGTTTTATAAATAAATATGGTCCATGTCGCTTTTACAAAAGTTAACTGTCTATTCATTGATATTTCTTCAAGACACACAACGCTAGCCAGCCGAAAATATGATTTTCTTGGTTTTAATGAGAGTTTTACGGCACTTGCACCACAATGAGGCCATATAAGTGCCGAAGATTAGAGGTGTCACAAAAGAATAAAAAACACAAAAAAGAAGGAGGAGAGATAAGGACAACAGATGTTTAATAGGAAAGAAGAAGCAAACCACACCAGAGCACCCGCCAACAACCCACAGAATATGATTAGACCTATGTTTTATCTGAATAAGAGAAATGGTATAGATCTAGGCCTACTTTTTCCAGAAACACAGGTGAATTTAGTTTTGACAACTTCATTCAGAACTTCAGTCACAAACAGAAGCCTGAAGTCTCAACAACCTAAGCATGTACAGTCAAAATTGTCTAATTTTTAAAGGACCACCCAAGGTCAAGGTGAAAAGTGGTTGACTCGGGCAAGAGGGCATCTTGGACACTGTCATTTTAATATTTAAAAAGCAAAATGCAAGAGGAAGTGAGCAGGGTGGTTTTTGATAGAGGTGATTGTCTTGGACAGGTGGCCGATAGAGCACTTTGGTCAATATAATATTTATTCTGGAATTGGTGGGTAACAAAACAAGAGGATAATCAAATAGAAATCTTGAGCCAGCTCTACACTACATCACAACATCAAAGTACACACTACACACTACACTACATTACAACATCAGAGTACACACTACACACTACACTATATCACAACATCAGAGTACACACTACACACTACACTACATCACAACATCAGAGTACACACTACACACTACACTATATCACAACATCAGAGTACACACTACACACTACACTACATCACAACATCAGAGAGCACACTACACACTACACACATCACAAGATCAGAGACCAGGAAAAGCACAAACCTGTCAAACAAAGTCCCCGTGTCGGCCAGCGTTGTGATGAGTTTCATGAACTGGAGAAAGACAACCTTCAGCCTGGTCAACAAAGTGGTCAGAGAGAGGTTTGAACCCAGGTCACCCAGCATCTGGTGCAGCTCTTGAAAGGACATGTTCCTCTGGTGCTGAGGTTGAAGAACAAATGGAGACTTTAGACTTGACACAGTGGAGTTTAGGGAATTAAGATTTGACACAAATACAGTGTATTTCTGGGTAAATTTTCCCACCCTTTTAGAAATTTTATAATTCTTCAAAAATGGTTATTTTTTTTGCTCTCCCGAATATTGAAAAATATCCATTGAGAGCATCTTCAGATTTAATTCACTGTCTAAAAAAATTTTCAGTTTTAATATACTGTAGGCCTTGGTGATTCTTTTCATTACTCTTGTATATTACAGGCGCCATAACATGGGATCGGAGACATAGCTAGGCTATTGGTGTCAACACGGGGGTGAAAAAACTTACATTAAAAACAAGAAAAAAAACCCAAACAACATAAGCCCTTATAGATATTTTTACAAAAACCAACAATTTTTAAATGACACAGCTCACTTAAAAATTGACTTACAATAATAAAAAAAAAGGTACTGAAAATGCTTAAGAGACAAATTCTTTTCCAGTGAAACAATTTTTTTTTCTCAGGATAGGATACTAGTATTTAGAAAATAATTTCTATCAATAATTTGTCAATCATAAGTTCTGATGTGTCAGTGTATGGAAGATTTATAGACAAAGCGTTAGGGAGGCAATGACTAATGGTGTGTAGTTGTGACATCACGGAAAAGGAGATAAAGCAATCAAGTGTGGTATCCTTGTTCCACTTCTTCTTAATCTTAGTGTTATTGTCAATATTGTCCTAATACATTTTTGTTTACACGTGGTTTCTATAAGTCAAATTAAACTAACTCACTGCAAACTAAAAACAACAACCCCAAAACAACAATAACAAAAGTAAAGCTACAAAAAAAAAAGACCAAAAACTGCAACAACAAACTCCCAAAGAAACAAGTAAAAATATTTAAAACGGTGCCGTGAATTCTTTGAAAAAAGACACCTATGCTTCATGTTGAAGGAAAAAACAAAGTTAACTTAAGGGGAAGTAACCATGATTCTACCTTCCTGAACACAAATGCCATGATGCTGTCCCATACGATGACGTCAGGGTGCAGGTACATTCGGGTGGGCTGTAGTGACGTCACCAGAATGTCCATCTGCCAGACGAGTGGACTGACGTTGTCTATAGACAGGAGGTCACGTGGTAGGGGGATGACCACACTCTCTGAGGCTCTGGGGGGGGGGAATGAGGCGAGGGTTTTGTCCTTCAGATACATATTTATTGGTAATGCTACTTAATGTATGGAGAGGGTGGTTTAGTTTTAGTGTAAGAGAGAGAGAGAGTATTTGTGTGTGTGTGTGTGTGTGTGTGTGTGTGAGAGAGAGAGAGAGAGAGAGAGAGAGAGAGAGAGAGAGAGAGAGAGAGAGAGTGTTAAACGAATAAACGTAGCCTATCTAGATATAGATCTAGATCTAGAGAGTCTAGATTTTGTTGTACACCCAGCCAGGAGAGTGCATTTCGGACAGGCCTAGAATCTAGATCTAGATCTTGGCCCCTAAGCGTTTGGCGAATGGCCGAAGGGCGATTCTTGACTAGCGGTATGTCTATGAATTGGCGGAG